AAACACAAAATATCAATAAACAATACAAATATGTAATATTTACAATAAGTATTTAAATGTTAAACGATATGCCTCCCCTTTAAATTAGCATAACAATAATTATATATAGAGTAAATTAGTCATAGCGAGAGTAAATCTCAAATTTTATCTGAAGTTACAATGCTTGTTCTACTATTCCACGTGTTTTTATATGTTTTCCAAGAAATGTTATTTTCCATATTACAGTAAACAAGAGTGTTGACCACTGTCAGTGTAATTGCAATGATCATATTGATATCAATAAAGTTATAGAAGAAATCAAAATTGACAAGAAGAACACGTCTAGATATCGTCGACGTCTGGGCTGTGCTCCAGATTCAAGATTGTCTTCAAAAGCCATGGGATTGGCAGCAGCAGTTGTGATAGTCACAGTTGTCGGATCTCTGGTGGCATTGGATTTTCACAATCTCAGTTCTGCTTTACAGAACTTCCTGGCAAATTTCAAACACAAATGATCATGTAAGATCATCATAAAACTGATTGTTTGCTAGTGCATGCAGTTATAGACCTGCTGCTAAAATGACTTAAAAGGAACATAATTGACAAACATCTAAATGTTTAGTAGATACTACATTTGGTCATATATATTGTTTTCGACATAAGTTAAATATTAAGAATATTTAATGTGATATTTGCACTGTGTCCCAAAATATCTTTTTTTGATTTTCTTTTAAACAAAAACCTCTGATAGATATTTTTTCTCTATGAAGGCATCAATATGCCTTCAATATTTTTTTTCTTCAAAAAACATAATTGTATTCCCAAAATGTTATTAGGAACAAAGAACGTAAACAGACGTATATATATGATACAGCCACAAAGGTGCAACCCATTGTTTCAAAAAAAGGGTTTTGTGCCGCTTGTTTTATTTCATACGAAAAAGACAAACAAATGTTTAATTTTAAGTTGTTTTCAGACAACGAAGTACATCCGTGTATAGTGAAAACTCTTTGTAAAATATCGCACCCGGTTTTCGTGATGCTCAGTCTTTAGTTTTCTATGTTGTTATTCGTATACTGTTGTTTGTCTTTTGGTCATTTTTTGTTGTTGTTTTTGTTTGTTTTTTTGCCATGTCGTTGTCAGTTTGTCATCGTATGAGTTCGAATATCACTACTGGACCAATTATCGATTTTTTTTGTCTGTTATTATCTTGTCTTGCTACATACTAAAAATATAAGGTGGTCAGCTGGATTGAACCCCGCTTTACGACTCAACAAACCTCCCCTTTTTATAACAGTCATCTTTAATTCCATTTAATCAATGTTTCTACAGTGAAATCCCAAACACACATACATAACATTTACCTTTATTCAAACTCATAAAAGATATATTCCAATCAAAAATACAAAGTTCGTTATAGGATTTCAAGTGTAATGCATGGTTATTCTACAACGTTAAGACATTAAATCCGTGTACCATGCGGTAAATAATCGGATAATCATATTACAGATTTACAAAGACTCCGACCAGTTTCCGAGTATGAATACGAAAAAGTCAAGAAAAAATGGTCTGAAAAATAATTTAAAAAAAACATTATATACCTTAAGAATTCATTGTAGTATTAATTAACTTTTTTTTTGGCGATTTAACAAATGTACATTAAACTTCAACTATGACTTTAAGTTTCTGATGTCAATGCCTCCAAAGAATTCACATGACTGTATTGCTTCGCATCACGGCGCGAAGCTATTATGTATTTGTTTTAGTCGATGTGCACGCCATCTTAGATTATAACTAAACAACTGTTAGTTCTGATTGGCTGCTTGTTGGTGTGGTTAATATTCAAATCAATTGAATGAGTTTAAAAATTGAAAACAAGTGACGAAGGTGAGAATAACTTATACATGCATTTGTATAGTCTGACAATATGTGTATTCGAGACCCGATGCTTAAAGGATCACCTATTGCTGGACAAGCACTGATAGTCAAAATAAATACATTTATTATTACGTATTTCCTTCGCTTTAATCTGTATGGTACGATAAGTTTTATTCAGATGATTTTCTATATATGATGTGTATGGAGTTATTAACATATCATCAGTCAGCACATATATTATACGAAAATGATAGCTCTGTTCACGTATGCTTTTATGTGTGAGACCACCAATTCACCAACTTCAATATAGAACATATGTAAAAGTAGCCCTTCCCTGTCAAAAAAATAGTGATTCGGTGTCATTGTTTACTTAAACTAACCAACAAATTTGCATAAATAAAACTTTTGGTGAAAGAGAAATATATTTAGACCATTTTGGCCCAAAATTGACTTGTCCGTGAGTTTGCATTAAAACTTGAGGAGTAATGCGCTCCATAGTATCCAGAAAACCAGGGGTTATTTTTAGTAGTAGTTGACCTCCGAACGGTGGTGTTTCATTACAAGACTTTAAACATTGGTTGAAAATTGGCATGAAGAAAGGTGACACATGTACAATTCAGGATTTATCTGGCTTCTTTGAAGTTAAGGATGTATTCTTCTGACGTTTCAATCTCGTTTCAATCTCGTTAGATGGAATTATTTCCAAAACATGTGATACAAGTGGAAAATATCAATGAATTTTAAAAATATTATAATCAAACTTAACTCTGTGAAAAAATTGTGTATTTACAATAAGTAGTTTTTGAGAAATAAAATTTTCAAATTTTATAACCAATCAAATCAGTTTCATTAGCTAAAATGTTGAGAAAATGGGTGAGGGGTACAAGAAATGATTTTACCAGATACATGTACATCCCATATCAATTTTTTCTTTTCAAATTTCTTAGATATGTATTTTTTCAATCTTTATAACAAAGAAGTTGAAATAATATGCTTTTTGTTCTAAAAAAAAAGAGAAAAATTCAAAATTTACAAAATTGACAACATGGTAAATTTGACACAAAAAGCAACAAAATTTTATAAAACTTTCTTATATCAACACCTACCCATAGTTTTTTAAGTTTAATTTATTCAGATTGGTCCACTTCATCTTTAGTGAAAGTATGAAAAAAAGTTCAATTGTGAAACTGTGATTTTTTTCATGATAATAGCCCAAAAATGGGTAAAAATTGATGAAAAATTGGAAAATCATAAAAATTGAGTACTTTCAAATGGCTGTAGCAAAAAAAGAAGTCCACCACCATATGATTTTTTCTTCACCAATTATTTTTTTACAGTCATATAAACCCAAAAATCAGATTAAGAAAAATAGTTTAATTCTAGAAATTTTTGGCTCATCAGAGGTGTACATCCTTAAACTTAAAATTAGAATATTTAGAAAACTGTGGAAGTTGAAAAAAAATGGTTAAATAGATAGGGATTTTGAATTGGTGGTCCGACACCTTTACTCGACGCTGACCGATATGTAATTATTAGATATATTTCTGTTGAAATTGATTTGTTAAACTATCATATTATACAATTTAGAAAGTATAGGTCTAAAACGGCACTTTTATTATTACAGGGACGTAGGATTCAGGGGGGAAGGGGAAGCAAACCCACATTTTGGCAGAAAAAGAAATTATTGAAAGTAAAAATAAAAATGATAGAGGACACTGAATAACTTCTAGACTGTGAGACTTTCTTGTCACTTTCAGAATTTGGTCTCTTTTTGGTCTACTCCTATGCCACTGCTTTAATAGTACATCAAAATGAAGATAACGTTAAAACAATAAATACACGTGAAAAAAACCCTTTCGATTTCTCAAAAAGAACACAAAAACAAAAACGGACGTTAATTTATGATACTGCGAAGTACTCTGTGCCTCCAATAGTGTGTTGCATAGTTTAGAAATTTGTGCATTTTTTTGATAAATGTTAACATCAACGCTTTAAAAAATATTGAATAACATGAACTCAAGGAGCAATAAAAAATGACACTTTGCCAAAGATCATACACCCTCGAGACAAAAAGTAGAGAACGAGTGGAACTATCCTATCGGCATGCGGTACATTAAAGGTTGGAACTAATATATCGGCATGCGGTATATTAGGTAATGGTACAAGTATATCAGCATGCGGTATAACAGAGGGTGCTTTAATATCATGTGGTATATCGGAGGGAGTAATATCAACATGTGATATATTAAAGGGTGGTACTAGTATATTGACATGTAGTATAGCAGAAGGTGGTTCTTGATTATAGGTATGTGGTATAGCACAGGGTGGATTAATATCATGAGGTATATCAGAGGGATTAATATCGGCATGTGCTATATTAGAGGGAGGTTCTAGTATATTGACATGCGGTATAGCAGAAGGTGGTTCTTGATTATAGGTATGTGGTATAGCACAGGGTGGGTTAATATCATGAGGTATATCGAAGGGAGTTATATCGGCATGTGCTATATTAGAGGGCGGTACTAGTATATTGACATGCGGTATAGCAGAAGGTGGTTCTTGATTATAGGTATGTGGTATAGCACAGGGTGGGTTAATATCATGAGGTATATCAGAGGGAGTTATATCGGCATGTGCTATATTAGAGGGCGGTACTAGTATATTGTCATAAGGTATAGCAGAAGTTGGTACTTGTTTATAGGTATCTGGTATAGCAGAGGTAGGGTTAATATCATGAGGTATATCAGACGGAGTTATATCGGCATGTAATTTATTAAAGGGCGGTACTAGTATATTTAGATGCAGTATAGCAGAAGGTGATACTTGTATATCGTCATGTGGTATATTAGAGGGTGGTATATCAGCATATCGGAATCTGAAATACATGAAAAGTTGGAATAATTAGATGTGGTATATCAATGGAAGTATATCGGCATGTGAAAGATCGTTCCAGTAAATGCAAAACCACCCATTATTTTCATGTTTAATATTAGAAGAGTCAGCTTATTAGTTTTTTTTATCTGAAAAGATCGAAATGTAAAGCGGAGACTATTTTGGCATCCGGTTCTCACACAGATGCATATTGGCAAATCTCCATTCATTGTATATTAGCACTTCTTCAAGACACAATGAAGTAGATACTGTTCTATGTCATGAATAAACAAATAAATTATATTTTGTATGAAAGAGTATGTACATTCAATTTCAGTTTGAAAAATTACTCGCATCTGCTAAAAATCAACATATAAACAATAAACATTAAAGAGCACATGACAGCGATATGAAATGAAAATTTAAAATCAAAATGTGATACCATTTAAATCATGTCAGTTTTATGAAAACAATTCTATTCGATTTGGAGATAAATATGGATATTTCCATGCATTATTAAATGGATGTTTGATGTTAATCTTGTCAAACATAGAAACACGTCATTGGAATAGGATTGATGTCATTGTCATTCATTTCCATTGTATCATTGGTTTGTTTCTTCATACTCTCTGTCTGTTAATCTTAGTCCTGCAAGATAAATAACAAATTATACTGCAAAAAAGTTCTGCCTGTTAACCTTAGTCCTGCAAGCTAAATAACAAATCATACTTCGTAAAAGTTCTGCCTGTTAACCTTAGTCCTACAAGATAAATAACAAATCATACTTCAAAAATGTTCTGCCTGTTAACCTAAGTCCTACAAGATAAATAACAAATCATATTTCCAAAAAGATCTGCCTGCTAATATTAGTCCTGCAAGATAAATAACAAAGCATACTTCCAAAAAGTTCTGCCTGTTAACTTTAGTCCTGCATGATAAATAACAAATCATACTTCCAAAAAGTTCTGCCTGTCAACCTTAGTTCTGCAAGATAAATAACAAATCATACTTCAAAAAAGTTCTGCCTGTTAACCTTAGTCCTGCAAGATAAATAACAAAATATACTTCAAAAAAGTTCTGCCTGTTAAACTTAGTCCTGCAAGATAAATAACAAATCATACTTCCAAAATGATCTGTCTGTTAACCCTAGTCCTGCAAGATATAACAAATCATACTTCAAAAAAGTTCTCCCTGTTAACCTTAGTCCTGCAAGATAAATAACAAATCATACTTCCAAAAAGTTCTGCCTGTTAACTTTAGTCCTGCAAGATAAATAACAAATCATACTTTCAAAAAGTTCTGCCTGTTAACCTTAGTCCTGCAAGATAAATAACAAATCATTCTTCCAATAAATTCTGCCTGTTAACCCTAGTCCTGCAAGATAAATAACAAATCATACTTTCAAAAAGTTCTGCCTGTTAACCTTAGTCCTGCAAGATAAATAACAAATCATACTTCCAAAAAGCTCTGCCTGTTAACCTTAGTCCTGCAAGATAAATAACAAATCATACTTCAAAAAAGTTCTGCCTGATATCCTTAGTCCTGCAAGATAAATAACAAATCATACTTCCAAAAAAGTTCTGCCTGTTAACCTTAGTCCTGCAAGATAAATAACAAATTATACTTCCAAAAAGTTCTGCCTGTTAACCTTAGTCCTACAAGATAAATAACAAATCATACTTCCAAAAAGTTCTGCCTGTTAACCTTAGTCCTGCAAGATAAATAACAAATCATACTTCAAAAAAGTTCTGCCTGTTAACCTTAGTCCTGCAAGATAAATAACAAATCATACTTCAAAAAAGTTCTGCCTGTTAACCTAAGTCCTGCAAGATAAATAACAAATCATACTTCAAAAAAGTTCTGCCTGTTAACCTTAGTCCTGCAAGATAAATAACAAATCATACTATAAAAAAGTTCTGCCTGTTAACCTTAGACCTGCAAGATAAATAACAAATCATACTTCCAAAAAGTTCTGCCTGTCAACCTTAGTCCTGCAAGATAAATAACAAATCATACTTCAAAAAAGTTCTGCCTGTTAACCTTAGTCCTGCAAGATAAATAATAAAATATACTTCCAAAAAGTTCTGCCTGTTAACCTTAGTCCTGCAAGATAAATAACAAATCATACTTCCAAAAAGTTCTGCCTGTAAACCTTAGTCCTGCAAGATAAATAACAAATCATACGTCAAAAAAGTTCTGCCTGTTAACCTTAGTCCTGCAAGATAAGTAACAAATCATACTTCCAAAAAGTTCTGCCTGTTAACCTTAGTCTTACAAGATAAATAACCACATTAACTTAAAATTCTTTGTTGAAGTATATTCAATAACTCGCTTAATTTGTGTTTTTTTTCTGTTTATAATTAAAAAAAATTCTATGTAATTTTTAGAGGAGAAAATATATTTTGAACTAAAGTGCATCATTTTAAATACAATTCATATATATTCATATTAGTAGAACAACATTGTGACATGCTAGTAATTGAATATTAACACACGCCAACAAAGAAGAAAGGGCTTTAATTTATGACCAAAATACAATTAATCAAAGTTAATATAAATTAAGCTTCAAAGGTATAACTGTACCTTTTAGAAGGTATAAATAGCAATGGTAATCACTAAGGCAATAACAGCAACCAGTAAAACCAAAATCTGTAGTTGAACGTCAAGGAAGTGTAATAAACTAGTACTATTTTGTCAACTTGCGACGTTCTAATGACTTCTGAAAAGTAACGAGACAACCAATGTATTTTGTTTAGTTTTTATTGTTTTTCTCACCTCTTCTTCGTTTTATTCTGTATTGTTTCTGACATTTTTGATTTTCGATTAGTCTACGCACTTGTATTTACTTATCAACGTTTAAAAGGCGAATATCAGTCAACAATTTTAAATGATGCTTCAACGAACAAATGAAGCGTTAAATTATCTTTACAATTTGATTTTAATTCAATAAACATTTAGTAATTATATGTACTTAAAAAAAAAGAACAATCCAGACATTTTGCAAAATAGAGACTTTTAAGTATGGCAAATTAGTTATAATGTTGCTTATTTCCATAATTGTAGGTGTAAATGTGTCTAGCTTGAATGATAATAACTATCAACAAAGTTGATGAAATGTCCAGAGAACTATTTTGAAAGGATACAACTATTAAATTGATGATGATCAACGTCAGTTCTGTACATCTCCTCTAAAATGAAAAACAATATGATTAGAGATGTAGGAAAATATTGTATAAATTACTTCAATGATAATATACCTGATCTATTTTACAATTCTATATCTACCTCTCAGGCAAAAAACATTGATTCAACATCCTATTTATGTTTAATTTTGAAATGTGTAACAACGCTGAAGTTTCATGTGGATTAAACGTTGAACAATAATTGTTTCAACTTAAATTGAATGCGAATATCATTACCACTCAGGTTGAAAATAGTATTAGCTGACTGTGACACTTGAACTTGTATTGGTTTTTTTTCCTCTGTATGTGTATGTGTGCGTGTGTATGTGTTTTAATGTGATTTATTTATTCATTTTATTTTATTTTGTTGCTGTCCAGAATTTGATTTCTTCTTTTTTTTTCCTGTTTTCCTTTTATCTGTTATTTTAATTCTGTGTACAAAATGATTTGAATAAAGGCAGTCTCTGTTTTTATACATAGAGAAAAATATCAAATCTAGCTTTTCTCAAGGGTGATTGGAGTAAAGAAATATTGTTACATTGTAAAATTGAGAATGGAAATGGGGAATGAGTCAAAGAGACAACAACCCGACCATAGAGCAGACAACAGCCGAAGGCCACCAATGGGTCTTCAATGCAGCGAGAAACTCCCGCACCCGGAGACGTCCTTCAGCTGGCCCCTAAACAAATATGTATACTAGTTCAGTGAAAATGGACGTCATACTAAACTCTAAATTATACACAAGAAACTAAAATTAAAAATGATACAAGACTAACAAAGGCCAGAGGCTCCTGACTTGGGACAGGCGCAAAAATGCGGCGGGGTTAAACATGTTTTTTGAGATCTCAACCCTCCCCCTATACCTCTAGCCAATGTAGAAAAAACAAACGCACAACAGTACGCACAGTAAAACTCAGTTTTAGAGAAGTCCGAGTCCGATGTCAGAATAGGAAACAAAAGAAAATAAACAAAATGACAATAATACATAAATAACAACAGACTACTAGCAGTTACTGACATGCCAGCTCCAGACCTCAATTAAACTGATTGAAAGATTATGTCTTCATCATATGAATATCAGGCACAATCCCTCCTGTTAGGGGTTTAGTATTATACCATCATAAAATATATGAGAAGAACATAACCCGTGTTACATTGATCTTCTTTCGACCGACAGTTTAACCTTTTCAAATATGGCTCATCCGTTTGCTGTGCGGGGTGTAGACATTTTTAGACACGTTCGGTCAGAACGGGGACTTTAAATCTCTGCACTCTAAAGAACACTAAAAGTCCTGCAACATCTATAGGTTGTCTGTTGCAAGAACAATTTCTGCCTCTTTCCAACATACCATTGTTTTCCAGTGACAGTTAAAATTATTTCCCCCCTTTTTCCCTTGTCGTTCTATCTTGCAGAACCTAATTATGTCCCATTTATAGCATTATGTTTTTCGGTCTGTGCGTCCGTTCGTCCGTTCGTTCGTCCGTCTGTCCCGCTTCAGGTTAAAGTTTTTGGTTAAGGTTTTTGGTCAAGGTAGTTTTTGATGAAGTTGAAGTCCAATCAACTTGAAACTTAGTACACATGTTCCCTATGATATGATCTTTCTAATTTTAATGCCAAATTAGAGTTTTGACCCCATTTTCACGGTCCACTGAACATAGAAAATGATAGTGCGAGTGAGGCATCCGTGTACTATGGACACATTCTTGTTTTTGTAAATAGAATAAAAGTTTCTCGTCCTTGGTGTGCCACTGGACACTTAAGCAAATAAAAAAATTAAATAGTTATCTATAAGTTGTTAAAAATGTTGAAGAATATGTTGTTATGAGATCGATATAAAACTTCATAAATACAAATGAAGTTGTAGAATTGTTAAAGAGATTACTGTTATTTCAACAATTTGTCAGTTGAAAATATTAAATCCTCTATATCTCAAACGATGATAAAATATGTAAAGCACTTATAAGATTTACTATAGTTTCTCTCGAAGCATGAACACCAAAAAAACAAAAACACCATCAATAACAATATTTAGAATTGGGTAATACTATGTATTGATGAGTGAATTTCGTCTTTTATATGTTTATTGACCTAAAGTAACAAAAAAATATATAAACATTTATATAAACATACTTGTGGGCTTGTCATATCGATCTGCTTTATCTTTGAGTCTTCAATTGTGCTAATTCTGACCAAGCCAATATCATGCTGTGTTGCTCCTAACTTTTGGAGATTTGGAGATAAGGTAGCCCACATCTTTTCAAAGTCATTTGCTCTTATTCGTTGGTCTGTGTAGTCAAGCTTCAACTTTGTATGGACTTTGAGAATGATATCGACCGATTCTAAAATGTCTGGCGACAAAATTTCGAATTGCCGAAATAAGAAAGCAAGTTGTGGCATCTCTAGATCTCGAGACAAGATGCGTTTGGCAATAATGTGACACAGACATGGGTGAATATTACAATGTGAGTTTATCTTGTAACCGTAATCATAATAAGCATCAAGCTTGTCACGGCTGATTGGACGATTCTTGGAACTGGTGCAGTTTTGAACATTCTCACAGCACACTTTATCGTTCCAGTACAAATGCATGATTGTATGCTTAATATTTGTATTGTTGAGAAATTTCTCCAGCGATTGGTTTGTTCTGTGGAGGTAATTTTCCATCTGTTTATCAATTGTTGGTTCCGCAATTTTGTGGAACAGATTATTTATACGAAGGTAATTATCACGTTGTGTAGCCATCTTTGTATCTGTAAATTAAAAGTAGTTTTAAAAGTTGTAAAAGAGATTGTACCTTTTAACTTAAAGTGGAAAGTACATGTAATAGAATGTATATATCAAACCATAACATTGCATAGTTTACGATGATAACTTTCTTAATCGCTTTAGATATTCTTCATTTAAATCATACCAAAAGACGTGTAAAGAATCCTTTGCATTACCGACTAGAAGTCAAATCCGTCTCCTAGTAGGATTTTTGGTGGACGGGCGGTTCAGGAAAGTCATTTTTAAGTGGATACAATATCATAACATATATCGTCCAACATGGTTCAACCAAGACCCATAAAATTTTGTAGAATGTTTACACACATAAAAAAATTGAAGATCACAATGTCTATTTATTCAATTATTTTTCATATTTCATGACTTTACAATCTTTGTATTTCAACAGTAACGACAGAAAGATTAAACGAAATAGAAAAATACTATTTTTTGTTATCTTTTTATCCCTATTCAGTTTTTCATCCATGTTACATGTACATTTTAAGGCGTGCTTTGCCTATTTTATGTACTTAATTCTTATTAAAATTTTTGTTTTATTAAAGATTTGTAGATTTTGCTTATATATATATAAAGTCTCTCAGTAATATAAGAAACATATTATATAACCTTGTCATTCGAGACTTTAGTTCTATTCGTCTAAACTCTCTCTGTTCCTTAGTAGTAGGAGGATTAAATCGAGTACGTGATGAGTATCTTTTATTCAAGGCCAGGTCAAATCAAAGAAATTAAAATTGGCATTTGCTGGTTCTTCGTCATTACGACCAAGCACGCATCATTCAGAAGTAGGAGTATATGTTAGTCGTGCATGGGTTCGAGTACGGTGTAAACGCTTTCTTGCGAATTGTAACATTGACTAGCACGTTAAAACCGGACCTATTTGTCGGTATAGTACAAAGCAGATCATATTCATATCACATTAACATGTTACCGTCCTGAATATGGATGTGATATTTTCTACAGAAAGTTAATCCTATAATAATCAATAAATCTTTTAATTTCATGCAAAATCATCACATGTTAAAAGTATAAAGGAATAGGATTACGTAAAAGGACATAAAAAGTAACTTTAGTTATTTACAGCTATCTTCCTATAATTAATAAATCGTAAAATAAAACTTAACAATATTAAATGTATACTTACGTTTTGCTTTGTTTTGTTAAGTATCTATGTTTCACAACTCTCCATTTTACTTTACTAATAATAGGGCCTTATGCTATGAATCGTGATTTTTTTTTCAAATAAGATCAACGATTCATTGAATGCACACATACAAATCGAATATCTTGTATGCTTTTTTTTTATTTTTAATGTTTTGAGATTAGACAGTTAGTGCTCTAAATCATGAGAACAAAGAACAATGTAACATAATAATGACACACATTGACTGCGATAATATTTGATGTTCTGTCAAGTACATGTATGTATGTTCACACAAAATTTAAGAGTAGAAGTGAACTGACTGTATGATCATCTTTCAGAACTCCTTTCTGTCTACCCAGTGCATGCATAGGTTTTTTCTTAAAATTTTATATTTTTGCATGATATATTTCCGTTTTAATGATGTAAATAGTCGACTGTCATTGACTTCAATTTTTCCATTTCAACATTCAAAGTAATGTTCTTATTGAAAAATATCCCACAGAAGGTCGAAAGAAGGGAAACGTTGTTTAGCCAGAAAACGTCTTTTATCGATGTTTTCCAATACCAACACTGAAACAGATTGTCTAATACTTCAAAAACGAATCTACATCTATTTTGAAAGAATTCATTTATTATTTTTTCAGAAAAAAATTGAATTGTTATTTTAGATTTTTAGTTCAAGTTTAACTTACCGCAGCTAGTTGTATGCAAAATCTTACAAAAATCTGTGACATGACCCTTTTACTGTAAATTGACCTAAAGCTCTTAGATCTTGAATATTTCATCTCATAGGTTATCGTTTTTGTTTGATCTAGAACGCTTCAGATCACTTTAAAGCAAGAGCGTAATTTAAGCGTGTACATGTAAATGAAAGAGTTCAATTTATAAAGTTTTCTATGTTGTGTTTTGTATACTGTTGTTTGTCTTTTGGTCGATTTTCGTTTTTTTTTTTTTTGTCTTGGCATTGTCAGTTTGTTTTTTTTACTTATGACTGATTATTCCTTTGGTATCCCTCGCCGCTCTTTTGTAATAGCAGTGAGCTACAACATTTGCACCCGTCTCTGTGGACTTTATTCTAATTGCTTGCATGGAAATTTGCAAATAAAAAAAATACTACTGGGCAAACCATAGCTTTCACGTCTTATTTATTACAATTGTGTGTAAAATAAGTGAATATATTTGTTCTCGAAATTTTCAATTGATCTTTGAAGTTTTTATATTAGTGATTTAGAGTCGAAAATGATCGCGTAGTTAAAATATTCAAAGGTTAATTTTTCTTTTTAGTTCAAGATACTAGGCGCAAGCAGTTGATTGTGCTAGTCTTTAATTTTCTATGTTGTATTTTGTGTTTTGTGTACTGTGTTTGTCTGTTTATAGATATAAGAAGATGTGGTATGAGTGCCAATGAGACAACTCTCCATCCAAGTCACAATTTGTAAAAGTAAACCATTATAGGTCAAAGTACGGCCTTCAACACGGAGCCTTAAAAGTTGGCTCACACAGAACAGCAAGCTGTTTGTTTGTTTTTTTTTCCTTTTTTGACATGGCATTGTCAGTTTATTTTCGATTTATAAGTTTGAATGCCCCTACGGTATCTTTCGCCTCTCTTTGAAAAGATTGTTTTGTATGATTCTTCCACAGCACATTTGAATATCTTTTTTTTTATAACTGATGCATTTTATTATTTCTTTGAAGAAGGTCAGATTAGTGTATTTTTTGTTTTATATATTGAAAAAACTGTAGTGACTACAACAAATGAATTACACCTAGATTAAAGAAAGACCATTATATAAATTGATGAAATATGTTTCTAAAAAGATTATATTGTAGTGTAGGGAAGACAAACTGACTCACAAAGCAACGTAGCTTAAGTAAAATTTCCACAAAAAATTTAACACTCCAGAAAAATACCACTTTTAGCATAAGCTTGGAAAAACAATGATATCCAATTCCGTAACGGTTATAAGTACCGGAAATTTTGTCGTTTTGAACATATTGTAGATATAAAACGATTTTTTTTTAATGTAAAGAATATTTGATTGGCTACAGTGATTATGAATATATTTATATTAGTATTCAAAACATTACCACTTCTTATTCTCTTTTTAAACAGCAACTGTTTGGTTTTGATCATAATCCAACGAAACGGTTATAACTTACCCTTAAACTAAATTACATGCATAAATTATGTTTGAAAACACCTTTCGCAAGTTAAAACACGGTATTTTTAGACTTGTGCTCATTTAAAACAAAATATGAAAAAAATATCTTCGTAAACCTTTTGGGTTTTTTTTTGTCATCAAACTTTTTGGCCAAATTAATGAAGTTAATATCTTTCATGTAAAACACCTCCCTACTTTAAAAATCAGTCTAATTCAATTAGCTGTTATTTCTATACACGTATTGCTACTAAGATTTTCAAACATGTGTTGCATTGCATCTGTGCGAATTTCCGATTCATATATAATTTTGCTTGTAACCTATACTATAGCTAGTAACTGAATTACCTGACATTGTCAACAACACTTCTCTACAAACTATGTTAGCCAAAGGACCAAAATATTGTGAGCCTAAATCCATTCTTTTCCAAAGTTTGAATTATGTCAAAGATTATGCTTAAACAATTGATAAAACGTGAAAAAGAAGACGTCGCAATTCAAAATGGAAATAAAGTTACGAGGTCGTTGATCCAAATAACAACTAAATATTTTAACGAGTCTGTGAACATTCATGCTACTGTGTCATCTGTCTTCAGCGACTCAAGTTTGGTTAGACACCTGCATGTGTGAGCATCTTTGCTAAGTTGCTTTTTTTAATATTACTTTTGTATTACCCTCATTTCAGAGAGTTCTTGCATTTCACATATCCCAGTGAATTTGACATTAAGGATACTACTAAAGTAGAAGAGCTGCTTTATAAACAGATTTTGTTCTTGATATTGACCCAGATGGACGACTCCAAACTAGGATGAATGACAAACGTGACAATTTGACTGAGTATGGATTCCAATGTAGGGTTATGCATACAAAGCAGGAGACGCTTGTCCTGTCAAAGCATCATGTATTCTTTCGTTTGGATTTCATGGGATTTCCTCGGGGGTTGTTACTTTATCTTGATTTGCTTATTCTTAATGGAGATTTTAACATCGGTAAACTACTTTTGCCTCTAGTTTAGCTCCATTAAACTATATTGACATCCCAGCGGACAAATCCCCAAACAAGATCGTTTTTGTGTATATTTTTGAGTGGTCTAGAGAGCTGGACACAGTGCAGGCGGTGTTGTCTCGATATCTCAGTAGAGATTTACGGAAAGTCTCGGTTCCGACTTTTGACGGAGCATACTATCGCTCCACCGACAATAAGAATCAAAATTTGAATCCAGAGTTTTCGTAACAGCACGTTTCAATCGGATATGTCGTCAAGCTCATACACATGTTCATGAAGCCAGATACGTTATTTTGAATGATTTTTTTTCCTGCATCTATAATGCCATAGTTATATATAAATGTATATATACATATGTACATAAACATATCCCGTTTTCTGATATAAACAATTTTCTGTTTTACAGATACGAAAATAAAGGGAATGTCAAGGATAGGGAGTAATCTTTATTTTAGATAAGGGGAAAAGGAGGGGGGGGGGGGGGGTAAGATGAAGAAATTTGCAATAAAAAGGCAGTACCAATGTATCAATGAAGTAACAAATCAAGGACCAGTTCAAGTAAGAAAAAAACGTCAGACTCGATATTTGTTGAAAATAAAATGTAGGACGAAAGTTTTCTTCTTAAAATAACGGAAATGTTTGGCAAATTTTGGATCGTGCACCCCCTTTAGGAGCCAAAAATGTAACAGGCCCTCGTTTTTTGGAAATTATGGATCCGCCACTGGTCAAACCAATTACAAATTGATATTTACTGCTTCTTCACTAAGCACAAAGCATAGTCGGCCCTGAGTCAGAATGTGTTAGGGTTGGTTGACATGTTTTACTGCGGACAGTTACCTTTTTGAAATGGAACGCTAAAAATCGGTGTGTCGGTCTTGTACATTGCAAGGTCAAATATTCATATCTAATTATGTGCCCTTTCCTGAATTTAGCTTGCCACTTTAATAAGATGAACATCCAACCATCCATTCATCAATCCTACATTCATTTTTGGACGAGATGTTTAACGATGAAAGGCTGCGATGGCAATTTTGAAATTTGAAAGGGTTGTCAGACATAATTCCTGTATCTAAAGACCTTTCGTTTATACCAAGTTTGGTAAAATACTTTTTTTCAGTCGGAAAAGATAACGCACAAAACTACGGATGCCATGTGATCAGGGCAATAGCTCACAGATACCTTTGATACCTAAGAATCAGGGGATAAGATTTGTGGAACTGTACATATTAAGTAAAAAATATCTAGGAAATTAACAGAAGCAAACCTTATTTGATTAAATAAATTGTTGTGTAAAATCTTGTTTAACTGTTATTTGCAAATTTTACCTTGAAAAGCTAATTATTTAGGTTTTTTTTTAATTTTGAGACGACCCCCTTCATTTTACCTGTCAGAGTCGGTGTCAACAGTCGGTACCGAGACTTTCCGTAAATGTCTAATAGCATGAGTTCGAATCCCGGCGAGGGAAGAACAAAAATTTGCTTCCGCAAATTTGCAGATTTAACATTGTTGTGCTGATATTTAGAGTAATTATGAATATAATGTGTGTTTTCAGCCGTGTATCACCTTCACTGTTGATCCAATGGATCTGTCGTAGAGTTGTCACTTGTTTATACGTACTTATATATATGTGTGTGTATATATCAATCACATGAATTTCGTTCACATGTTTCTGGAATTCCCTTTATCGGGTACGCGCCTGACTTAAATATTGGACATAATGATAATGTAAAAAACCAAGCATGTTGATGATGTTAGGTTGAGAAAAAGGTTTTGTTTGAATTAAAGTTGTGTTTTACAAACATGACAAAGTTTGATTCATATTTATATTGGTCAGTAGTCATTGGTTCATTAAAACTTTATTTGTGCCACACCATAAACAAATGCTACTTTGATAAAATTAGAAAGTATAATGAAACTTGATGATTTATTAAAAGCATATATTATTACGAATCTTCAACAACTAAAAATAATGCTTTACATCTTGCACTTTTTTTAATGAAATATCATTACCACAAATAAAAGAGCTAGTATTTTTAAATGTTCTTGCACTATTCATATTGTAATTTTTATTTATTTGACTTTATTTATTTATTTGTTATTTTATTTATTTTTTGTCATTGATAAAGCATAGCATTAATTTCTGAATAGAAGTATATCAATTTGTGTCAGTCTTTTTTTCTTTTTGAATTCATCTGTATTTGCATTATTCCAGCTCTTTATGAATATATTTATAACATCTATATTCATGCAATTGTTAACCAGTAATTTTGTCTGAAATAAAGAAAATTAAATATCTTTTAAACGCATTATATTTTAGTAAAAATGAATGAATTATTCAAATAGTAAATGAAGGTAAAAAGAAAAATATTCCACTGAACATAAAACAATACACAATAAATTAAACAATCAAAATATGCCATTCAATATTCATAAATGGCCGTATTTGTTGACTGGTAGCATGTATGCACAAATCTTTCTCCAAATTGTATTTTTTTTGTATTTTACTGTCTGTTTTTGTGTTTATTTTCTAAATAATATTTGCTGAATAGACATTGATTATGTAAATCATTAAAGACTAAATTTTATTTTAAATATTTTGTAAAACCGAGAGTGGTCTGCTTGTCTACCGTTGAATATTCTACACCTTAAGATTTCATGTGTTCCTAGTTGCAGTCTTACTGGACGTACCCCAATTCTCCTTTCATTAATATTTTGTTAACTTACCATTAAATATACAGGACAAGTACAACTATGATTCCTACAGGTATGCCTAGAATAATCAGTACCTTTTTATGTGTCAAGGAAATATCAAACCAATCCTTTAAGATGATATTCACAGAGGAAATACATTTGATAACAGATAACAACCAATATTCTGAATTAAAACGCAATTTGACATTCATTCTAACAGTTTGTAGACTTTAATATTAACTGTAAAGAATAATGCATACATAGTGGAAAGTGTTCTTTGAATATTGTTCCAGTTTAAAAAAAAAATTTTAAGTTTTGAAACTCATTTAACTCATTTTCATTCTCGAAAAAAGTCAATTCAAGCTCCGACCGTGAAAGATATCAGGCTTATAATTTTGTAAGCCAGATGCGAGTTTCGTCTACAATAGACTCATTAGTGACGCTTGAATCAAAAAGTTAAAAGGCCAAATAAAGAACGAAGTTGAATAGCATTGAGGACCAAAAATTATAGAAAGGTTTTAGTTAGGAAGCGACAATTTATCGATTTCCATTCTGTTCTGTAATCACTTGATTTCCAACAACTCTGATAAAAAAATTAAGTATAGACACTTTTTTAATTTACTCACACTTATGAAATACAAAGCAATCCATACAGGAATACATATACGTGCTTTCTACGTTTAATATTTACATTATTTTTATATCAACCGTTTTCCTCAAAATTCAAATTAATGATAACGAAAGGATACGACTAATGCCATTAGGAGTATTTTACAACATGGACATCTGCAATTCTGCAAAAAATGAAATAGATAAATTTATTAACCATTTTGAAACTCATCAACGATACCTGAATTATAATTGTTAATGTACAAAAGACTCACCAGAAACGCTCGAAAAGTTAAAAGGTCAAATAAGTTACGAAGTTGAAGAGCATTGGGAACCTAAAATTCCGAAAGATTACTGATCTAAGAGTAAGAGTAATATTCATAAATTTTGTATAGCCGCTTTCAAGGAAAAAATTGAGTTTATAGCTGTTTTACAGTTCAAAACCTCGTACTTTTAGTTTCAAGTTTGGAAAAATAACCGAATCTGGGTCAAAATCTTAATTTGGAATTTTTGAAAGTTTACATTATATTGAACAGGGGCATATAAAACTTCCATGTTTAAACAAAATCATCATCATGTGATTATAATATTTGATGTGTCAAACATTGATCACTTTCACAGTAAATTTTCTTTAATTTGTAGTAGAACAGACATCATCAATTCATGTAAAGAACAGACTTTGCTGACACTATTTGTCTTAGCACTTGAAAGGTTTCTAGGTTGTAAAACTACTAATACATTTTATAAATGACAATATATTATTCACTCATGTTTAGAAGGTGGAATCCTTACTAGAGGGGATATCTGAGTCAGCTCTAGATGTATAATTGATCATAATTGCATTACAAATTATACTGGTTGGATTGTCGAGTCTACTGCCGGGTTTGTCGAGTCTACTGCCGGAGTGCGCTATGTATTCTTTAGATTAAAACGACAGTACTACATTTCACATAATGAATGTTAAGTGGCATAGTGAAAGAAAAACTTCCATGGTGTTCTTTTTACTGGAAGCTGTTAAACTTTTCTGCACATCATTAAAACTCAAATCTATAGAATTGTGCCAAATATTTTTTTCAATCGAATTTTAGCAGTCATCATTTAGTAAAGCCACCTTTATTTTGTATACCTTACTTTTGTCAAAAAGAAAAGTAAAGAAATTTTAAAAATCTGTCTATCTTTTTTACTTAAGCTTTAAAAGTTATTATCATTTAATAAAATTAGCCTCTACGATCAGTGCTCAAAGATGTGAATTGACCATCTTATTTCAGTATTTCATGTCGAAACTAACTTTCATAAAGGTTTCAGTAGTAGAAGAGGGACGAAAGATACCAGAGGGACAGTCAAACTCATAGATTGAAAACAAACTGACAACGCCATGGCCAAAAATAAAAAGACAAACAGACAAATAATAGTACAGATGACATAACATAGAAAACTAAAGACTAAGCAACACGAACCCCACCAAACACTGGAAATGATCTCAGGTGCTCCGGAAGGGTAAGCAGATCCTGCTCCACATGTGGCACCCGTCGTGTTGCTTATGTTATTACAAATCCGGTAAATAGTCTAATTCGGTAGGTCACATTCGTGAAAAGGGAAGGGTATTGTAGTTACGACATAAGGAACATATCCGATATCATCTGTGAAACGGTTATTCCATAACGGTCAACCAACTCGTGATGGTGTCCGTAAAATTTACGAAGGGATGATTTCAACTTCACCATTTGGATGACCATTCCTTACTCGTGTCATTTTATATCATATTTGTCTACGATACTCATAGGATAGGAAGAACATAGCAGATAAGAATGATGTTTGGTTTTATAATATATTTGTATTAAGGTATGGAAAATTGCGACGGCGAAATATTTTGTTTTCACAAATTTAATTTTTGTGGAAAATATTTAAATTATATTACCCTGTCATCTAAAGCAGTAGGAGTAGGTGTTCGGTTTACTCTCAGTTTCTTTATTCTATCTATCTGCTGCTGAGTAACACCTAGGACCATTAAACTGTCTGTAGTGGTATTCCATTTTGTCTGAAATTCACTATACGGAACTATTCCTGTTCTTATGTCCTGCATCTCTTGATTGAATACATTCAGTCTCCTCAATGCTTCCATGTTTAATCCATCAATCATTGAGAATTCAATTATAAGGAAACATATAACATTCAGATTAAGATTCCTAAATTTTTTGCATGTTGTGACAACATTACAAATACAAACTGGCTTTGTGCAAATATTTTTTTCTTCGTCTTTATACAAGAAGCTCCACTGTCTTTTGGTCAACGTTGCCGATATTGGGTATGCACAGTTGGCATGCAGTGAACAGCAAGTTGTTTTGACACGAGAACAGTGCACGATGCGATGTTTGTTTGTCTCTAGGAATTGGTAGATCGATACTTTATTTGATTGAAGATAATGTTCTAGAATCTTTTCACATGTTGGATATACTAAACGATTTAATAGCTCATTCAGACGCTCGTAATTTTCCGTTCCTGATGACATCTTTCCTTGAATCGACAAAAAGAACATGAATGTATTATTGGTAAATTATTAAGTTAGGGATTTAATTACCACAAATTACGTAAAACCTTCACTAAATTCTTCCATAGATATAAAGATTTGGTTTGGAAGTTGTACCTGTAGAAAACTTACTTCAAACGGAATAGCACATCCTAATTTTAACAGAGATGATGTTTACCGAGCCTGTAAACTTAAATACGATCCGGGTAAACTTATCGATCCTTTGAATTAACTTAGTCTACGAGGTTACCAATTCAACACTATAATTAGATCTCTGAATATTGTTTTTATTGGTATTAATATTGTTTTTGTTATCAGTAAATTAAAATCAAAATTTATATCATTTTTATATACATATACATATTCATGACTCTACAATCTGTCGATTCCTGTATCTTGGCATTGCATAAGGTCATGTTTTTCTCTGACTGTTAATGACGTCTTTACACTAAATCCATTAAATTTTGGATGTGTACTGATTGATATTTTAGTCGTAGATGCATGATTTTTTTATTAGTTGTTATTGGCTATGAACTAGCTATTAGTAACTGCGAGTACTCTCAGACCTGTACATAGTGTCTTTTTGTTGGGGAAATGTATAAGTACCCTGCCACGTCCACTCTGTGTTTTTGTTAGATGTATTTTGCTATTTCTCTAATTCTTCGTCAATTTATCCCTTTCTGCACCCATTGTATAAAAAAAATTTAATCAACGTGTGGTTCGTTTGATCTCAGTTCTTCATTGGTAAAATCCGATTATGACGTCGAATTTTCTTGCTTTCCTCTGAATTTCCTATTGTGACGGCATGAAAAAAGGCGACCATGCCTGATGACGTCACATAGAAAGAACACATCTTTTTGCAGATCATTCAAAAAGAAGGACTAAGTTTGCCTGCATATTGTTTGAAAATCATTAGAGAAACAGATTCCACCACCAAATCTCGTGTAATACGATATTTATCCACTCTCGACAGTTAAATTTTAAATATTTAAAACGCTCGGCGAGCCTCGCGTTTTAAATTTGGAAATTTAACTGTCTCGAGTGGATAAATATCGTATCACAATCGATGCAGTGGTAGAATCTATATGTATCCATCTGTTGAGTTAAGCCCTTTTTAACTGATTTTTATACTTTGTCCTTATGTTGTACTGTTACACTACTGTCCCAGGTTAGGGGGAGGGTTGGCTCCTTCAAGCTAGTTTAACCCCGCCCGTCCCAAGTCACGAGCGTGTAATTCATTGGTTGTCGTTTGTTGCTGTATATCATTTTTTTTTCGTTCATTATTTTGTACATAAATCAGGCCGTTAGTTTTCTCGATTGAATTGTTTACCATTTGTCATTTCGGGGCCTTTTATAGCGGACTATGCGGTACTGGTTTTACTCATTGTTGAAGGCCGTACGGTAACCTATAGTTGTTAACTTCTGTGTCATTTGGTCTCTTGTGAAGAGTTGTCTCATTGGCAATTTTACCACATCTTCTTATTTTTATATGAAATGATAATTATATAAGTATGAGTATTGCATTTATACTGTAAAAAAATGGCTTGTTCAAACTATTATTTTTACTGCAGATAATGCGTATTGGCTCATGTTTACTAGATTAAATGTATTTTATGTTAAACAAACTGAAGCGAATTGTGTAATTTTGAGTTCGGAGTTGGAGCTCGATAATTTTGTTATGCTTTATTTCAATTAAGTAGAAGGATCTTTTCTGCAGTGGTCTAACACTAGTTTTATTTTCGGTATTTCAAGAGATTGTGTCTTCCTGTATTGTTTATGACATTAAGTCCGAAATACAGCTGTAAAAAACAGCATGATATCTTTATCAGCAGATTATGTACTTTGAGTCTGCTTTTATTAAATGCAAACATTCTATTATGAGTGGGGTTTTTTTCCTAACTAATTTTGATTGGGTTTTTTGTAGATCTTTTGTAATTCCACTTCTCGAAATTAAAAGGAGGATGTTTGGGTGCAAAATTTGGTTAAACCCGCCACACGTGCATGTGTCTGTCTCATATGTAAAGAATTTTGTCAGTGGCTGTCTTTAGTTGTATCATCATGTTTTATTTATTAAAGAAGTTTGGCTTATGACACATTTTTTAAATTTATTCACTTTTTCTTAACATCTCGTTTTATTCATATCTTAAAGCCTACATCACTTTCAAATTGTAAAATACATGAATCGAAATATATATTTGAAAACTCTTACCTTTACTTTTTGGTTAATATTCAAAAACATTTAAAATAACATATGACATGAGGTTATAAATAGTTTGACCTTTTTCAGTTCGTTAAGAATTGTGTTACACTTACCAAGCGATCCACTTAAGTGAATATCTATTGTTTTGATTGTTTTGTTTGAATTTTTATAACTTTGAATAAAAGACAATTAGGCGTACCAGTTCAATGTTAAAACGTCATTACCCTTGTAATCGATACCTTTTAGTTTATGTCTCTGTTATATTGTGTTTTATGCATCGTGGTTTGTCTTTTCGTTTTTGCCATGGCATTGTCAATCTGCTTTCGACTATGAGTTTGAATATCCCTTTGGTATATTTCGCTTCTCTTTTATACCGATAAACATGTGTGTTAACTTACGATTTCCTTTAACCAAATTTCTTAAGGAAATCTTAGTAATAGAATTAGAACTTATTATCTTCAGCTTATGAATTAAGGTAATATACAAAGGTCATTTTAACTTTCATTCAAGACATAAAGAGAGAACCAATAACGGGTAGAATTGTAAGAGTCAGAAAAGATGTGTCGACATGGAAATAGTCGCCTAATATGCAAGTATTACCTTCAATGCAAAGTTTAAAATTCATATACAGTTCTTAGCCTTTGTCAGATTAAACAAATTGACAATATCAGATGGACGGAAGATGGCGTGTGATATCGTTGACATAGTCATGACGTTTCTCTAGTACAGTGAGACACTGTAATGATCAACCATTCAGTCATGTCGTATGTAGACCTGTAGTTTTAAGTGATGAAGATATACAAATAAGAAGATGTGGTATGATTGGCAATGAGACAATTCTCCACAAGAGACCAAAAGACGCAGAAATTAACAACTATAGGTCAACAATGAGTAAAACCAATACCGCATAGTCAGCTATAAAAGGCCCCGAAATGACAAATGTAAAACAATTCAAACAAGAAAACTAACGGCCTGATTTATGTACAAAATAATGAACGAAAAACAAATATGATATACAGCAACAAACGGCAACCACTGAATTTTAGGCTCCTGACTTGGGACAGGCACATACAGAACTTATAAATTAAGGTAATAAAAGGGTTTAAACTAGTTTGAAGGCGCGCCAACCCTCCCCTTAACCCAGGACAGTGGCGTAACAGTACAACATAAGAACAAATTATAAAAATCAGTTGAAAAGGGCTTAACTCATCAGATCGATCCAAAGCAGAAATAAATCTAACAAAAACACTTAGTGGGCGTGGCAGGGTACTTATACATCCAGACAACAAAAAGACACTATGTACAGATCTGAGAGTACTCGCAGTTTCTGACAGCTAGTTCAAAGCCAATAACAACTAATAAAAAAATCATGCATCTAAGACTAAAATATCAATCAGTACACATCCAACATCCAATGGATTTAGTGTAAAGACGTCATTAACAGTCAGAGAAAAAACATGAAGAGTTTATTTTCTTCGTATAAAAGTATAACAAAAATACCGAATCCAAGGTCAATTCAAAAAAGGCGAAGTCCATATTCCTGACTTGGTACAGGCATTTTCCGAAGAAATTGTGGGTTAAATCTGGTTTTATAGCTAGCTTCAAATCTCCCGCATGTATGACAGTTGTTTATAGTTCTGTTATATTGACTAAAATTGGGTCAGCAACAGACATAATAGGTTAATGTGACAATAATTGGGATCCAGCAGCCAAAATTGTGTAAACATACACCACAACTGACTAAAAAATTCAAAAAACCTACAAATAAATCTAACGAAGACGCCAACAAAAAAGGTGTTGTATGTGATAGTAAAGACGCTTACAAAAAAGTTTTTGTAGTTGATAGTATATTGACAAAGACGCCGATAAAAAAAATTTGTACTTGATAGTACATACTGTATATAGTATACGCTTTCTCGATAAAGTACAAATTAGGTAAAATATAAATACAAGGGTAAACAAAATGAAATATAAAACACTGTAAAAAACCTCTTGCGTCCGAACTGCTCATCAGGACCTACCTGCACCAGGAACGGCCAAAGTCAAAAACCCGATCGTATCATCAGTATGATTGCCAATGAGACAACCATCAATCAGAGACGGAAGGACGAGGATGCCTTACTTACATCTCTTTAGAATAGCGTTTTCAAATAAGTGTTATTTTTTACGATGCAATGATATTTTTTTTTCACATGTTCTGATATTGATCTATATGGTATTCTTTTCATTTTATATCTGAAAAATCATTTAATACTACCTTGTGGTTTCTGGTTTCTGTTTCATCTCAATTACCTTTTATTAATTTAAACAACAAAACAGACCACATGAGCGTTGCAAATGAAAAGGGATATATTGATAAATACAAAGGCGGTTACACCAGTCAAGAAGTTTTAAAAAAGTGTGAAATGAGGCAGTTGCTGATTAGACATTTCATTTATTTCTTTGGAAAATCAAAAGTAACAGCATCAAGAGTTTTTTTAAATGTTATAGTACATTTTAATGTAACGTTACATAACCTACAGTGGGGTATCTTTTTTTTTAACAACACATGAGTCGGAAGATATCCTATAAGAATTGCATCTAGTTATTTACTATTGTTGAAATAGATGACGAAAGTTCCATTAGGGAAATGGTTATATAATTTCTAATTACGGCATCAGTGTATAATGCCTTTGCTACTTCACTACAGATTCATGATACACAATACAAATACTTTGTTCTTTTTTTTCACTGTACAGTTGTTGTTTCAGGCAATCGCGACGATTAGCAAGACAGTCTAAATCTACTAAAATTGCTTTTGAATGCTATAACTCAGTCATAGCGGTACTTTCTTGCAGGTGGGATTATTTGATAAGAAACATACAACAGTTATCATTTTAAGCATAGGTGTAAATATAACGATGGAAAATAGTAAGGCGGACAAAGGAAATAGATAATGACATTTCCGACTTGATAAAGACTCTTTCTTCGGAGAGAATCCATCTTTTGGAGTAAATCCTCCCATTTGTATAAAAATCTTGGCAAGATTTCTTCGGTTTTGAGTTGATAGATCGATCAGTACACCTCAAACAGATTCAGTGCAAAGATGTCATAAGCAGTCTGAGAAAAACATGAAACACACAAAACATGGATTATCTTGCATAAAACAGTAGAAGGTACATATTTACAATATTTTAAAAACTACAAGTAGAACAAAAACAGGCAACACCAAAACTTTACGACAAAAGGGATGATTTCAGCTTCCCAATTGTGAACTTTCAATTTCTGTGAAGTAAGATTCCAGCAGTGCCTACATACACAATAAAAATAAGGAGATGTAGTATGATTGCCAATGAGACAACTATCCACCAAAGTTCAAATAAAGTGAGTGTAAGCAATTATAGGCAACTGTACGACCTTCAACAACGAAAAACCCCATACCGTATAGTCGGCTATAAAAGGCCCCGATATGAGAAATATGAAACAGTTCAATTGAAAAAACTAATTTATAACCAAACAATTTACGAAAATCAAATAAGACAGACATGAACCAGCGACAACCTCTGAACTACAGGCTCCTGACTTGGGAGTTTGTATCTCCCAGTCGATGCTTGCGTTTCCTATCATTATTTCCTTGATAGAGAGTTGGTACTTATATGGAAGATATATTGAACTCATGGTTCCAGACGACCACGGATATGTTCCAATCGTCCTTAACGCAAAACAGTCCATTTTTCCTGATTATGATATCACCGAATGAGACTTATCACCGAATTTGTCCTTATAATGAGCAACATGACAGGTGTAAATATTGGAGCAGAATCTGCTTACCCTTCCAGAGTACCTGTGAAAACCCCTTGTTTCTATTGTGGTTCATGCTGCTCAGTCTTTAGTTGTCAATGTATTGTTTTGTGGAGTTGTTTTTGCCATGTTGTTGACAGTTACTCTTCGACTTGTGAGTTTTGAATGTCCCCCTGGTATCTTTCGCCTCTTTTTTATAAAGAAAACGACGAAAAACCAACAACAGTTCACAAAATACTATGCAGAAAACTAAAGATAGAGCAACACGGATCTCGAAAATAAATAAAGGATCAGCAGTTCCAGCTTCACAAGTGTTAACCGACGTGTAACACTTGTTGAAATACATTGGCGACTAATAATAGACAATTATAGCCGATTAATAAAGCCTCTTGTATGATCTACGACTTCACTCTATTCATAAACCATAGGTCATGTGAATTTTCTTACCCTAAAACTAAACCGCTGTTGAAGTCTGATACAAAAGGACAGTTTTTCAGAACAAGGCATAGACAAGAATTTTACCGATAGAAACAAAAAAGACATCAAAATACAAATACACAAAATACAACAACGAAAAAAGTAAAAGCGTTGTGAACCAGTTTAGTTATAAAGATTAGTGCCCCGGAGGGTAAGCAACTCCTACTCCACTTGTAGCACCCGTCGTGTTGTGCATAGCAAGGAACAATGCGGTGATATGTCGCATTCTATGGTGTAACAATCAAATAAAATAAGGACGGGATCATTGTTACAACGTGAGGGGGAAATCCGATGTCATTCATGGCACAAATATTCAAAAACTGGCAATTAAATCATGATTGCGACTGTAAACTACTTCAATTGTACTATTATTATATTTGGTGTATTAGCATCCTTGTAAGCAGTAACACTCTCTCCAGGAAACACAGGTCATGTAATATCGTTTCAACCGGGAGATAAATATTCCATATGCAGGCTCAGCTATTAGATTGCTACAGAGAAATGAAAATCCATAATGGGGGCATTGAAATCGTCCTTATGTCTTCAACGTTATACTTGTCAACCGACGCACATACTGTCAATTATTAGATGTTATTAAAGATATGAGGCAGAATTAATTGTATCTGTGGTATCCTTTATTTCAAGTTCAATAACATAGTTGCTATCGTCATAGTCAACGTTGAGTAGTTAAAATGAGTTGTCATCATCAATTAATAACATTTTGTCTATTGAAAAACACTTTCTCTAAATTGACAATAAAAATCAAGCATCTTGATAACGTCTGTTTCAGAAATCTTTTTGTTTAAATCAGAATAATCACGTTCACAAAGTAGG